CCCCTCCCCCCAAGAGCTATTTTAGAGGAGCAGCGGCTCCTTCTGGTGCTCTTCCAAACTGTTCACTCGGAACCCCGCGGCTGCCTCTAACTGCGTAGAGAAAAAGCACCTTGCTTTGTATTTAAAATGGCGCTTTGCCTCATGACGTGTATACGTTGATCTTATTTCAGTTGAGGGGGGAAGAGGAGTCTGGGGCTCAGTCCTCGGTTTGTTGCGACCAGTGGAAACAAGTGGGTTGTTGAGAAGCTCTTCCAGGGGAGGTGGTGACAGGAAGGAGGGAGGTGCTCACCTCTTGAATATTAGCTTGCTGACAGCGCATCTCTGCTTAGACCACCCTGCTAGTTGGAGAAAAATCTGAAATCTGTTAACTTTGTGCAAAGAAGGCAGATCTGTTCTGGTTTTGCCTGTAACAAATTCAAGGGTTTAATGGCATAACTTCTATTACAGTGAGTTCTGTGGTCTGAATTGAAAAGTTTTACGTTTGTAGTGATACTGTCTACTGTCTATGTTTACAAGGTGGTTCTTGGGGCTTAAATTCAGGTTTTATTTGTTCTGTTTTTGTGGGGTTTTTTTTGCTTCTGGAGAAATAGCCTGCCAATTTATTTTCATTTTATTATGAGGATTTCTAAACTTCGGGAGGAAAAGAGCTGTGGACTTAACATGCATTTGTGCCCTGAACGTATTGATGAAGAAGTGTTTAAGTGATCTGCAACGTTGAAGTGTGCACTTTGTTCTTTGAAAAGTTTTAAATATCGTGCTGTTTGTAATGGGAAAAACAAGCCGCAGTGTACTGATCTTTCTGTTCTTTGCTGTTGCTTCTTGTACTGATGTTGTAAATGTCTTTTGAAAAATATTTGTTTGGGTAAAACATCGTTCTTATTAGGATGTCATATTACATCATGGAAATCCTTTTTTGTTTTGTGAAGGAGGAGCTCAGAGAACTACGTGAAGAACCAACTGATCCTCAAGCTCAGCAAGAAATAATTAACAGCATTGAAGAAGTTTATTTTTCCAATGATTCCTTTGATATTGTGAAATATGAGTTAGAGGTGAGCTGTCTTCTTAAAAGAAAACATAATGATAGAACAAAAAATGAGAATCAAAAGTATGCTTGTTTCAATGAGCTATTTTTCGTTTTGTTGTGTCTTGCATTAATACAAAACTGTACTCTCCCGCCTCATCTTGCGATTGTGTAAAGCTTCAAGCATATAGTATTGGTATGGAGTCTCTTCTTTTAACATGATAGAATTAATATCAGTTGTGCTGACAGGCACTTCATAATTTAAACTATAGTGAAAAAGCCAAAATAGTTGGAGGGGAGAAAAAAATCCATTCTATATTTTGGGTATTTTTTAGCAAACTGGCTGAGACATAATAATTTAAATGATTAAGGAGGTCATGTATATACATATATGGCTTAAAATAAAGCAACTTTGAGGTAATTATGATACTATATGATGCAATTATGATAGTACATTATTCATCTTGGCACTGATTTATTTCAGTATCCATCATTTGAAATAATGGATGAATTCTGCAAATTAGATTGCAGAAGCGATAAGAATGTTTCTTTAATGGAATGGATGGGTTAGTTAATGCTACATGTGTCTTTAACATCCTTTAATTTCTTACTGGATTTAATTTGTTGTTTATACGCAGAGGCTTCCTCCAGTACTTAGTCTTCAAGAACTGGAAGAGTACAGAGACAAATTAAAACAACAGCAGGCTGCTGTAAGTAAAGTTGTTTCCTCTGTACCCTCAGGCAATCTGTTGTACTAAGTCTAGGCAGAAGTGTAAGTTTTGATTTCTTAAACACATTAGATATTAATAATTTTTTCTTCTAATGTTATGTTATGGGTTTCCACTCTAAAAGCACACATCAGTAAATCATATAATCATATGAAATCATGAAAGTAAATTTTGGTGATTAACTATTTGTCATGGTTTAACCCTAGCTGGCAGCTAAGCACCAAACAGCTGCTGGCTCACATCCCCCTGGTGGGATGAGGGAGAGAATCAGAAGAGTAAAAATGAGAAAACTCGTGGGTTGAGATAAAGACGGTTTAATAGATAAAGCAAAAGCTGTACACACAAGCAAAGCAAAACAAGGAATTCATTCACCACTTCCCATTGGCAGGCAGGTATGGCCATCTCCAGGAAAGCAGGGCTCCATTTGCATGTAGCGGTTACTTGGGAAGACAAACGCCATCACTCCAAACATGCCCCCCTTCCTCCTTCTTCTCCCCAGCTTTATATACTGAGCATGATGCCATATGGTATGGAATATCCCTTTGGTCAGTTGGGGTCAGCTGTCCCAGCTGGGTCCCCTCCTAACTTCTTGTGCACCCTCAGCCTACTTGCTGGTGGGGTGGTGTGAGAAGCAGAAAAGGCATTGACTCTGTGTAAGCACTGCTCAGCAGTAACGAAAACAGCCCTGTGTTATCAACGCTGTTTTCAGCACAAATATAAAACACAGCCCCATACTAGCTACTATGAAGGAAATTAACTCTACCCCAGCCGGAACCAGCACAGCACTGTAACAAGAAGCAAATGTGCTATTTCTTTAGAAACTTGATTTTCTGAATGTTCAGCTTTTCCTGTGTATTACAAGAAAAGTAGCGTCAAACACAGTGCTGAATAGTACAGTATTATGTCTTTTTTTGAGGGATTTCTGTCAACATATAAAATGTTTTAAAAACTCTTTCCTTAGACTAGCTATTTTCTCTTATTTTTAGTTTGTCAATTTGTTAATTGTCCACAAGGGTTTCTAGTGAATGCTGCTACAGGGTTATTACATAATAAAACAAATGAAATGTAACAATCAGGAATAGCTATAATTTACAGGGGGAAATCGGAGTTGCAGCTTCTAAAAGGTACTTGCTACATTTCAGGCTTTTAAATTTTCTATTCATACATTAATTATTGATTCATTGCTCTTTTAAAGATGAATAATGTGGTACAGGAAATGAATGACTTAACTGTGGCATGTGGAGAGTATCTGCAAGTAAAATAACAGTAATAATCATAATTCATGTCTTTGAATGAAATGTATGGAAGGAGAATATTGGGTTGTTAACAATATATAGAGAACAAGTTTCTTCTGCCTAAGACTGCTTTTCCCAGAATAAACATATGAAATTTTGTAAAGTGTTAGTCAGAAGTTCAACAAATGAATATTTTATGTTTCTCACCAGGAGTTATAAGGACAGAAGTTGAAAATGGGTGGTGGTTTCTGGTTTTATGTTGGGTTTTTTGTTTTTTAAAGTCTTAAGAGGACGTCTGGTGGTGACCTAGTTTTGCAAGGAGATACACTCAAGAGTGAGAGACAACTTCATTGAGATATGCTGAATAATCCTAATACCTGTTATCAATGTCTTCGCCATTCTGCCTGAGTGATGGGAACTGGCTGCAGCTAGGGGAGTAGTTTCAGCGCATGGCTGCTGCTGAAACATGGGAACTGGAAAGTGCATGCAGCTTAGTGAATAACAGGGCTGAAAACTGAGTACAAGGTTTCCAGGAAATAAGGCCCAGATGTGTCTTTCTTTTAGAAAACAAAAACTCTCAAAGCCAAAACTTTTGACAAGAAACATGTGTCTAGCTCTTGCCTCCCTGCCCTGCCACCACCCCCCCACCCCCCCTCTGCCCCAGTCAGGATTGGGCCTTTCTTGTGTCTTCCTTAATCTAGTCTAAATGTGATTCTGCTATAGGAAGGAATTGTTCCTTGGGCTTGTTTTCTTCCCTGGGCATGTGCCAAATTGTTAAAATTTCTTGTATTCTGTATATCATGTCCTTGTGTCATAATTCCAGGTGAGCGTGAGAAACTGTTGGGTATTTTCTTCTCCTGTCTCAATTATTGTCCATTTATCTTGTGGTATGTCGTTTAGATTACTGTCTGTCTTAAAGGACATTAGTGTCCTTCATGGAAGACAGTACTGCAGAATGTCGTACATTGTTAGTTCAGTTCTAAAAATACTTTAATGCTGATTGTGAATAGATTGTTAGAGGACTCTAGAAGTCTGTTGACAGATCACACAATTCCTCTGCTTTTGAAAAAAAACACTGCCTTTTTCACTTCAGTGCCTGTATCTATAGCTGGCATAGGAATTTACAATAGTGGTTTAGAGATAACTGCAACTTCCAAATTTCTATAACACAAAGCACTCAAATGAGTGTGAATTATAGGTAATAGAGCTCTGATCTTCCACTTCTCACTGACTGTTACCATCTGCTTTTGTACAGCTGATCTTGGTCATGCCTTTGTTTTCGGCGTCACTAAAGACTCCGGATTTTCTGTGGCTTTCCCATTACAGTTTTCCATTTGGTTGGATGGATTCCAACTCACTCCAGACTTCTTTAATATGTGTATCATCGCAGCTTTAATTTGTCTAATCATCTTGGTACAGACAATTTGCATTAGGAGGCTTTTTAGTTGTATGTCTGTTTGACTTAATTTTAATTAGTAGACTGATATCCTCAGCTGTATCTTTCTGTCTTCAGAAGATGAAATATTTTTTCCTGATGTGATTTAGGAAATAGTAAGTTGTTTTGGAGAAAACTGTTTGGTCCCCTCAAAGAACATTGTTGTTTGCATGCATTGATTACTGCAGTCACATTCATTGCTAGCAATTGCAATTCTGGATTCCAAAAGTTAAGAATTAAAAACTAAATCACCACAATTGAATGGAAGATGCCAAAAGAGGTGGGAAAATTTGGAAATGAATGAAAGGAAGCTGGGGTAATATTGCTCATCCAAAAGAAAGGAAAGAGAATAGCTTGGAAGCTCAGAAAAGTCGTATCACTAGGTTCAAGGAAAGAAAAAAAAATGGCTGTGGCAGATGGTTGACAGTGAGGTTGTTATTAGTCAAGGGTAACTGAGAACTTGCAAAACAAAAAAAGTGTAAAAACTGAAAATGAAACACATCTTTTATTCATGTGTACTGCTTGATGAATCCCTATAACAGTGAAGAATCAAGCCATTAGATTTGTATTGGAGCAATGCATGACTAGCAAGTATATCCTAAAGTTTTTACAGATACAGGACTAGCAGCAAGAACAGTTTGAAAATTTCACAGCACGTAGACTGTGTAGTGAACAAAACTTCTTTAGAGCCTGAAGGTCCCATTAGGCTTGTGTAGCTTTTGGCCTAATAACATCCTGTCCTGCCCCCGCCCTGCTCTGGAGTGATTCTTTTGCTGTCCTGCAGAAGAAAGCTTTATTTTATTTACAGCACAACTAAGAGGTTTTAAAATAGCTTTGTGATTCTGGCTGGTTTTTTAATATGGAAGGAGGAAAGCATAGCTAGATATATGCCGCTTGTCCAGGTTGCCAGCCGATGGTATCGGAGTACCTTGAAGACCATTTGTGTGCAGGTGCTTTTCCAGAGGCTGGGAATTGACGTGGTGGAGCCGCTGTAAGTTTGTTACAGGAAAGCTGATTGAAGATCCCAACTTTGTGCTATGTTTGACTAAACAGTTAAATATCTAAAAACCTCCATATCTATCTTTCCCAGTAGTGTATTGTGGGCTGGCTGGCTGTCATGGGCAGTTTTATTTTATTTTAATTTCTGGGAGTATTGTTCCCCAAGAAGAGCAATACCAGTAATTTCTTTGTCATGCTTGAAACTGTTTCTTCTTAAATATTTGTAGTCCCTGCTGAAAAACAAAACAAAACACACTATTCTCAAGCTTGCATTTATATGACTGTTACTACTGGATTTTTTTTTTTTTTTAAGCTTGTGTGTTTGCGCACAAGAAGCTGATCAAGGTAGAAATGCCCATTTTTAAATTCAGTACAGACAGCAGCTCTCAGTAGCATTCCACTTACTGTTAGTTCACAACAGTGGAGAAAATGTTAAAATATGCATGTTCTGTGTGCTAAAGAAAGGATGTAATGTGCACAGGGTGTACATTAATTTTGACATGGATTTTATTGAATAAAGTATCAGTCTGAAAGGTAGGTGTCTTAGGGCTTTCTTAGATCTCCATGGTAGATGGTTAACTTAAATTTGTACTCTAGCAGTAATACAAGCAGAAAGTAAGCAGTTGTAGTGTCCTATATTAATTCTGTTTTCCATACTAGCATGTTCCTTAACAAGCAGAGAGGTAAGGGATTAATGTAAAAATTCCTAATTTAATTGATTAATAAAAAAATTCCTAATTTAATGTAAAAATTCCTAAATGGAACTGTAAACAATTTTCTTATCTTGCTCCTAAGGAAAGCTGATGATCATTTTTAGGTTTTTTTACCTTGTTGTGGCATATCTATGAATAAATTTGAGAACTACAGAAGTAGACGATACAGAATCACAAACTTGTACAACTTCAGTACAAGGATGACCTACTTAATTGAGATTGCTATGTATCACCTGTAATATTCTTCTTTTTAAGGTATCTAAGAAAGTTGCAGACTTGATTCTTGAAAAACAACCTGCATATGTTCAGGTAAGACAACTAACAGTCACTTTTTAAGAGTAAACTGCTCCATTTTGTGCTGTTATAATGCTGCACTTGTTTCACTGGGGATTAAATCTAGTAATCTGTTGGTAGAGAGGCTAGTGCCTGGTTGGAGCTAGCTGCCTATGTATGCTAAACCTGTATTTGTAGAGTGAAAAGAACCAAGGCAGTATTGAGCTTGAGGCCTTGAGGATGATAAAGGCTTGGCATATGACTATTTTAAGAAGGCTTTCTGAAAACATGAATTCACAGGCTTGACTAATACCTGTAATGACTTGAACAAGAGCTTCATTTGTGCCTGTGTTTAAGAACGGTTTCAGCTCTTTTTCCATAAGAGACCTTTCTTAAGAGCGCTTAACCAGAAACCTGCCACTAATCTCAGGCAGTCGTGAGAAGAAAGCATCTAAGAGAGGACTGAGCCTCAACATGTCGAAGATCTCCAAGAGCAAAACAAAGCAAAGCTTTAGCTGCTTGCAGTGGAATACTGGCACAGCTTCTCTCCTTACTCCTAAAACATAATTGGAACAGGGATCATAAAGTTTCTCTAAAGAGAAGGCTTTTTTCTACCGATTTATTTTTAATAATGCCCCTATACATTTGGTCAGCCCTGCCAGATTTTATCTGCCTTCCAGGAAATGACAGTGAGAATTATGCAAAGTGAAAACTTGGGATTGTTACCAAAGTAGTCTGAGAAATATCCTGTGGTGGATAATTCTGTGTGTGTACAGCACCCTCCGTAAACATTGTCATACCGGCGATTATGGCAATTCTCATTTTGGTCAAGAAGCTGGAGAGAGTGTGTGGGGTCAATGATGGCAATGATGGCTGCATTTGGTGGTGGAGGTCTCTCCTCTGTCCCTCTCCCCTGTCTCTCCTCTTCCTTTTACATCCCTCCCTTCTTTGCCTCCTGCTTCTCAGCTGATACACTGTTGTGGGCTAGGGCTTGTACCTTCTGGGTGTTAACCCGTGGTAGATTTCATGGAGCTGGAATTATTTTCCTTTTTCATCCAGAGGGTACAACTTCCTCTTCTGCTCACTTGTGCTCATAGCCCACACATCCAGTGTTAGTGACCTTGCGAGTGTCCCATCTGTGCTCTGGCATTCTTTTGGGTAGAAGGAGGAGTGCTGCTGTTTAAAGAAAAATGGGGGAGTGAGCGTTGCTTGCATCATCTCCTGCAGTAGCTGATGGAAGAAGAAAGCTGTAAGGGTAGTATTATTTCAGTTTTAGTTACAGGAGTCAAGTGGGAGGCTATTGCAGGAGGCTGGCTAAGTGTTACAGTGGTCAAGTCTTCATAAGATAGTGTAGAGGGGAGCAGAAAGGGTAATTGCATGGTATCCAAACCTTCTGGTATGGTTTTTGGTTTTGCTCTTGTGCATGTTCAGAATGGATGTTGTTGAGAGAGTACTGCTTTTTCTGAATACAGCAGCTTCACTTTGAAAATCCCCTCTCACTGCATAATACTACTGTGGAGAATGTGCTTCTTGCATTTTGCTGTGTAATCATAGAATATTTTGGGTTGGAAGGGACCTTTAAAGGTCACCACTGCAATGAGCAGGGACATGTCCAACTAGATCAGGTTGTTAAGAGCCCTATACAACCTGACCTGGAATGTTTCCAGGGATGGGGCAGCTACCACCTCTCTGGGCAGCCTGTGCCAGTGTTTCACCACCCTCGTTGTGAAAAATGTCTTCCTTAGATCTAGTCTAAATCTACCCTCTTTTTTAGTTTAAAATGATTATCCCTTGTCTTATCGCAACACACCCTGCTAAAAAGTCTGTCCCCATCTTTCTTAGAAGCCCCCTTGAAGTACTGGAAGGCTGCAGTAAGGTCTCTGCAGAGCCTTCTCTTCTCCAGGCTGAACAACCCTGACTCTCTCAGCCTGTCCTCACAGGAGAGGTGTTCCGTCCTTCGGATCATTTTTGTGTCCCTCCTCTGGACCCGCTCCAACGGGTCCATGTCTTTCCTGTGCTGAGGGCTCCACAGCTGGACGGAGGACTCCAGGTGGGGTCTCACCAGAGAGGAGTAGAGGGGCAGAATCACCTCCCTTGACCTGCTGGCTATGCTTTCTTTGATGCAGCCCAAGGTGTGCTTGGCCTTCTGGGCTGCGAGCGTACATTGCTGGCTCATGTCCAACTTTTCATCCACCAGTCCCCCCCAAAGTCCTTCTCGGCAGGGCTGCTCTCAATCCCTTCATCCCGCAGCCTGTATTGATACTGGGAGTTGTCCTGACCCAGGTGCAGGACCCTGTACTTGGCCTTGTTGAACCTCATGAGATTTAGAGAGGTCCATTCCTCAATCTTGCCCAGGTCCCTCTGGATGGCATCCCATCCCTCAGGTGTGTCAACTGCCCCACTCAGCTTGGTGTCATCTGTAAAGTTGCTGAGGGTGCACTCAATCCCACTGTCTATGTCATTGATGAACATATGAAAGAGTACTCCCAGCAACATCTTAGTGAGGTGCACGTGTTTTATACCAAGAAGTTCTTTCAGATGTTCCAAAGGGACAGTTAAAAATCCATTGTACCGGTAAGAATCTTTAAAAGCATTTCTCAAACACGTATTTGCCCAATTAAGTCAGTAATCCTTCAGTGTTACTTACGGGCACAGCCTTGCACAGAGTTATTCTTGTAGTAGACTTACTTATCAGAGATTTCTGGTGGGCATCATAGGACTCGCCTTCCCACTGACTCATGAAATGAAACTCCGGATGTGCTGTGGGTACTTTGTAATGGCAGCTCTAGTCTTATTACAGTAACAGGTTATTAGAAGAAGCAAAAGTGCAGTTGACTCTTTCCTGGACACGTTGTTTCCACTATGCAAAGGAAAATGTGGAGAAGTCATGGTTTGCACCCCATTCCTAGTATGAAGTATTGGTCTAACAGGCACTACTGTGGGCTGAGAGGCATGGCACAGACACAAGGCAAGGCATTTACAGTTTTGCCTTCTCCTTAGAAGGAAAGGCATGCTTTAGGAACAACTAATGAGTGGAAGATGGTCTTTTAGAAGAGAAAAAATGCATTCAGCCCTAAATGCTGGATGGAAGACTCCTTCTCTGGGGGCTGTTAGGCTGCACTCTCTCCCCATACCTCTCCATCTAGTCACGTTCAAAGGAGGGATTTTACAGAATCTTTGCAAGAGGCAAGACTGGAATGGAGGTACTCCTTATTGGATGCATTTCCTCATGAAAAAGGCCTTTGGAATAGCTCTGACATTTACAAAGTATGTTTTTAGGAAGAAGTAGGTACTGAGGAAAGTAACTTTTGAGTTTGGTTTCTTAAGGTATTATGCGTATCGGTAACTAAGCTGTCATTTTTCCAAAAGCAATGTTGTTGTCATAAAGGAGGAACTGGTTTTGGTAAATGATGCAGCTCAGTGATTTGTCAGAATTACTTGTATCTTTGGAGACTGACCAGGAACTGATCTTAAACTGAACTAAAATTTAAACTTGTTTTTTCTTGTCGTATCTTTAGAATTGGATTAGATTTCCAAGTGAGTGTCTCCCTTCTCCCCATGGAAAGCAGTTGGTATATTTTGAAATGATGAGCAGTACTAAAAAAAAAATTTTTTTCTTTAGCATGGGAAGAGCG